GCCTGCTTCTCCCTCTCCCACTCCCCCTGCTTGTGTTCCCTCTCTCAGTGTCTCTGTCTCTGTCAAATAAATAAATAAAATCTTAAAAAAAAAAAAAAGAATAGTAACAATAAATTGTATATTTATTTTATAGATTCTGAACATTGATATTAAAGAGAAACCAAGATTAACTGGAGAAAGGCATGAAAGGTTGAAATTTTAGGGGCACCTGGGTGGCTCAGTCATTAAGCGACTGTCTTCAACTCAGGTCACGATCCCAGGGTCCCGGGATCGAGCCCCGCATCGGGCTCCCTGCTCCGCGGGAAGCCTGCTTCTCCCTCTCCCGCTCCCCCTGCTTGTGTTCCCTCTCTCGGTGTCTCTCTCTCTGTCAAATAAATAAATAAAATCTTTTAAAAAGAAAGCCTCAAAAGTCCTAATGCTTTCTGCAAGGCAAGGCAGATGATGGAGTAGCTGCTCTTGCTCATAGCTTACCAACTGTGGTATACTTGGTGTACATAGCATGCTGTAGCATACTACGGAAGGAACACTGGTACCTTGTTTCAGTTTTACGCTGTACAAAGAACAATTTGGTGAAAAATTTTTTCACTCCTGCTTTCTCTTTAAAGGCATCATATTTCTTACCAGCAAATAGTTTTAAGGAATGTTCTGACTTCTTTGTCCTGATGTATAGGATCACTCAAGTCCATCTAGAATAGAGATCTTTTTAGTGCTAATAAGAATTGTTGAGAGAGGACCCGCAATGCATTATGTAGGGTTTGAGAGAATGTTATTGGATTTCTATCTCTTTTGCAGTGGAAGAAGTTGTTCCGAATGTAATTGAACCCTCCTTTGGCCTGGGCAGGATCATGTATACGGTATTTGAACATACATTCCACGTACGTGAGGGAGATGAGCAGAGAACGGTAAGTTATCTTGGATAGTGTGCTATTCTCTCACAGTGTCAGGGAATGAAACTTATTGAAGAACATTATTAATAAGACTCTGGAATGATTGGTTATCGAATGTACTAGTGGCATTAACACTCATCTTTGCTTAACCGTTTACAAAGCAAAGAACTTTCTTATGTTAGCTCACTTGAGCTTTGGAATATGTAGGTCATTCTAGATGGGGTTGTTTCAGTTGCCTGGTGCTCTTTATTCTGAGACAACATATTACTGTGGGGGAACTATCTGTATTGCATCAGTGGAAGATACTGGCACTTTCTGGATATACTCATGTTTTCAGAAAATTGGGAAGAAGGGGATGGCTCAGAGAATTTGGACCAACCAAATAACTGTAGCCAAGCACTGGTGAAGCATTAAAGGGAACTTTCTCAAACTGCATAAAATTTGGGGGCTTTGGGGAAAAAGGTTCTGGTCCAGAGATACTGATTCACAGATCTGAGACCTAGGGATCTGTATTTTTTTTTTTTTTTAAAGATTTTATTTATTTATTTGAGACAGAGAGAATGAGAGAGACAGAGAGCACATGAGAGGGGGGAGGGTCAGAGGGAGAAGCAGGCTCCCCACCGAGCAGGGAGCCCGATGCGGG